TAAATCTCATAGGTGCATTCTTGAAAATGTTGCAATGGAAGAGTAGTAATAATGTATATGTAAAATAATATATATATATATAAATAAAAATTTTTATTTTTTTTATTACACACAAATCACGTGAAGACCATTTTTGGAAAACTTTTAAAAAATTTTTATTGCATTTTTGAACGAATCACGAAATCGCTATTTTTGAAAGTTGAGCGCGTGGCGGAGCAATAGGAGGTCTTTAGACCGAGCCAACTATATTAATAAATTCAAATTTTCTTTAAATTTCATTTAGACTCAAGATTTGAATAAACATTTGTCTGAATACATGAAAGGACTAACTGCCAAAGTATTTCGTACATACAATGCATCTCGTACCTTCCAAATTGAGCTAAATAAAAGGATGGAGAATGCTACTACTATAAAAGAGAAAATGGTAGCATATAATGAAGCAAACAGACAGGTTGCTATTTTATGTAACCATCAACATTCTGTCAGCAAGGCTCATATCAAAACCACTGAAGTAGACAATATGACATTCGCACTGAGTACATCAAAAATCAATTACATAGACCCATGTATTTCTGTTGCGTGGTGTAAAAAATATGATGTACCAATCACAAAGGTTTTTAATAAAAGCCTCCATGAAAAATTCCAATGGGCATTAGACATTGATGCAGATTGGGTGAGCAAAAATTTTTTTTTAATTAATTTTATTAAATAATAATATACTTAAATTTATTTTTATTATTTTATAGGAGTTTTGATTTGGTGGTAGTAAAGATTTTATATATATATATATAATTTTAAATATTATAATAAACTTATTTTTTAGAGAAATTTCAGGGGACTACAGTTGGCTCTGGATATAGTGAACCTGTTGTATAATGAATCGTATTATATAATGAAGTTAAATTTTCCCATTTCATTATATATAAATTTCTCTCCATATAATGAATTTTAATATAAACTTGCTATATAAGTATATAATGAAGTTGTTTTGTTACAATCATAATAAATGGCTCTCTATATAATGAAGAAATTATTACATCCTGTCAATCATTCCCTTTTAAAGGATTGTATTACTAATAAAATGGCATCATTAAAAAATGTAATATTTACTAGTATAATAGTAATATTTTTTATGATTAAAATTACTCGCATAACATTTTATAATGATTATATCATGGTTAAAATTAATAATTATAAAATTACTTGTATAATAGTAATATTTTTTATGATTAAAATTACTTGCATAACATTTTATAATGATTATATCATGGTTAAAATTATTGCATGTGGTTTATATTGTATGATGTAAAAATTACTTAAGAATATTTTTAATTATGTAATGTTTTTTAAAGATCATTTGTAATATCATTATTATCATAAATTTTCTTATATAAATAAAGGAACTCAGAAATATTTTTTCCTTGTTGATTGTTGATAATTATAATTCTCAATAATTCTCAATATTTTTAATAATGTCATCAAGTGATTCTTCAAAAAAGAAAAGGAAGATACTAACTTGGGGTGAGAAAAAAGAACTTTGTGAATTCTATGAAAAAAATTTGTCATTCACATATAAAGAACTTGGATTAAAGTTTGGAATTGCAGTATTGTAAAAAATAAGGAAAAATGGTTAGTGGTTGATCCTTCAGATATTAATAAACAAAAAAGATAAATCGCCAAAGTATCTAGAAATTGAAAATGCAATGATTTTATGGATCAACAATGCACTTGTAGCTAAAAGAGTAATTACAGGTGATGTTATAATTGAAAAAAGCAAAAAATTTGCTGAATTGCTTGGAATTGATGATTTTAAAGCTTCAGATGGGTGGGTTACAAGTTTTAAACAAAGACATAATATAAAACAATATAATTTACATGGTGAAGCAAGGTCAGCACCTTCAGAAGAAATTATTATTCAAGAACAAAGTAAATTGCAAGAAATAATTCAAGAATTTCCTTTGGAAGATGTCTATAATTGTGATGAGACTGGTAAGTTTTATTTATAAAATATAATTTATAAATGGTTTTTACATAAAATGAACTTAAAAGTATTTCTAAATTATTAGGTTTACTTTGGGAATTAGAACCTTCAAAAACATTATCAACTGGTCCTCTTGCTGGTATTAAAAAATCAAAAAAAAGGATAACCCTCTTATTAACTATGAATGCAACAGGAACTGTAAAGCTTCCTCCTTTATTTATTCACAAATATAAAACACCTAGAGACATGCTGGGAGTTGATAAATCGGATCTTCCAGTTGATTATTATTGGAATGCAAAAGCATGGATGCAGGTTTCCATTTGGAATCTTTATTTGAAGAAATT